TCCTTAGTCACCCCTTTTGAGCCTTAAGAAAAGGCAATCATCCAAATTATAAGAGCCGAGATGATTTTCTTGTCAATTTACCTACATCATGAACCGGGGAAGTGAAGAGTGATTGTGAAGGGGAAATACTTATGGCAAGAGATTATGAGCCTTCATATCCTTCTTTTTGATAACTTAACCCAAAGCCACATTATAAGCCAATAAAAGTCCTTATCAAAGAATTTAACAGCTTTTAGTTTGATCATGAATTTCCTTCAAAAAAAAAAAAGAGAGAGAGAGAAAAGAAAAGAGGGAAGAAAAAGGTGACCTAGCAAACTAAATGTTTCCTTGACTTCGAAAGTTGAAGATCTAATGATGAAAGACTTCCTTTCTTTATCCCAAACAGTTAACATTGTTCTTTGCTTACCCTTTTTTTTGAGCTAGAAAAAGGCAATCATCCAAATTCAGAAAAGCCAAGATGATTTTCTTCTTGTTAACCCACATCAATGACCGGGGTCGTGAAGAGAGAAATGTGAGGAGGATATATGGAAAAATTGATTTTTGAACCTTTACCCTTTCTTTCATAATAGCCTAACCCCAAGCCACATTACAAGCCTATATAAAGTCCTTATTTGAGGGTTTGAAACTTTCTTTGTCAAGGAACATTAAAAAAAAAAAAAAAAAAATCCTTTCTTTAGCGAGTCCAAGTCAATTAGTATAAATGAAAGCTCAGTGGTATATGATCGGTCTTTTAAACATTGAAGGTTAGTTCATGGGAAGGAGATAGATTAGATTTGTTCCGCTTGGCATGGAAGTAGACATTGTCTCATATGCTAAAGACTAGACTGGTGGAGTTACAAAGAAATAAATTCTTGAAGCAAATATTTTATAGCCTGAATGCCTTCTAGCTTTGTTAAAATTGTTGCATCAAAAGTTGTGCAATTCAAAAGTCATGTTTATCTCTTTTTATCCATTCATATTATCCATGCCATGGCCTTATTTTCCTTGTTTAGATTGGGATGCTGATTGGTTATGATGTTATGATGCTTTATTTCAGTTAATATAATTACTTTATTTAACTAAAATCTCTTGACAAATCTAAAAAAAAAAAAAAAAAAAAAAAGATGAAAGTTGCAAAGAAAAGCAAAAGCTTGATTCAATGGTCATGGTGCTTATCCTCTCTTGCAATGATTCGAGAATTTTCCCCAGTGGAGTCGCCAATCTATTGATGACCACTTAAGATTTCAAAATGATGAAAAATTACGTGTGAAATATATAAGAAAAACGAGTCGCCACTCGTTCAAATTATAAAGTGGGACAAGTCACTTAAAACGGGTCTGCACAGAAATCAGGATTCGAGGGTTCGGTTAGCAGTAAGGAAGGGCATACGCGCACCTCACAATTCTCCATTTAAACACAATTGCATACTTTAACAATGGGGTTTTGATTCAACTTATTCATTATCTATGTTTAAGTCCTAAAAAAAAATTTCTTTTTTTATTTTTTTTTTTTAAAAAAAGATAAACCAAATTGAAACATTTTTTAAATTTTGGACTAAAATAAACAAAATGACAGACGTGTGCATCATAAGCACAAATAAGCATTACAGGGACTAATTTGATTAAATTTGGAACATTAAAGACTGATTTGATTAAACTCAAAACATGAAGGA